ATATATATATATATATATATATATATAGGTAGGTAGATAGATAGATGCTGCTGAGGGCCGTCGAGGCGCTGGCAGGGCTGCCCTTTCCTTCCCCGTCGTCGTGCAAAGTTGTGTTGCTTGTGTCGCCATGGCCTTGCCCTGGTCCCAGGCGGGAGCCAACTCCTCCCTGGCCGCCAACCTCTCCGAGGGGGCTCTCCCTTCCCAGCCCCGACGGAGCTCCGCCGCCGCCGTCGGGGCCGCCCTTCTGCTCCTGTCCCTGGCGGGCAACGCGCTCCTCCTGCGCCGCCTCCGCTGCTGCGGCCGTCGGAGGCTGGACTTCCTGGTGTGCCAGCTGGCCCTGGCCGACCTCTACGGCTCTGGGCTGCTGCTGCTGCTCCCCTGGTTCCCCGACGTGGAGGGCTCCGACGCCGCCTGCCGCCTCCTGAGGCTCCTCCGAGGCTCGGCGGCGCTGGCCCCGTCGCACGTGGTGGTCCTCATCGCCCTGGAGCGCCACGGCCGCCTCCGCCGCCCCTCGACGGCGTCGGCGTCGGCGTCGTCCCCGCGTCCTCCCTCCCGGGGCGCCCTGGCGGCGCTGGGCTGGCTCCCGGCGCTCCTCCTCGCCCTCCCGGAGGCCTTCGTCTTCCGACTCACCGACGACGGGCGCTGCCTCAGCGTCTTCCCTCGGCGGCCCCGATGGCAGGGGCTAGCCTACGCCGTCTATGGGGCAGTCAGGGGCTTCGTGGCGCCCGCTTTCCTCCTGGGGGCCACCTGCGGACGCCTCCTTCGGGCCTTCGGGGGAGCCGAAAAGGAGGAGGAGGAGGCCGGGCGGCCGTCGAGGGGGGCGCCGGCACCGGCACCGCACGGCCTCCCGGCGTGCCCTCCTCGGCGCCCCTCTTGGCTCTTCTTGGGGCTGGGCAAGTGCGGCGCCCCGTCGTCGCCCCAGAGGCGGCAGCGTCGTCGTCGTCGTCGTCCGCCCCCTCGGAGCCTCCTGCGGCTGCGGCTGCTGCTGCTGCCCCGCGCTCGGCCCCGGTCGGTGCAGCTGGCCCTGGCCCTGGGCGGCCTCTTCGCCCTCTGCGGCTTCCCCCGCTTCCTCCTGGAGCTGGGCTGGGCCTTCTCCGGCTTCCCCGACGACGGCGACGGCGACGGCGGCCCCTCGACGGCCGCGGCCCTCCTGGCGGCCTCCCCCGCCGCCCTCAACCCCTACCTCTGCCTCCTCCTCCTCTTCCACGGCCACCGGCCCTGGGCCAGGCGCCTCCGGAGGAGCCTCTGCCGCTGCCACCCCGACGGGAGCCAGCCCCAGCAGCCCCAGCCCCGACGGCGCAGGAGGAGAGGAGCAAGGCACCGGCCGCCATTGCCGCCGCCGCCTCAGGCAGCCCTGGAGCGGGGTCCACGGTGGCTGCTCTGCCCCTGCCAAGCCCGGCGTGAGGAGGGCAGGAGCCCCGCCGTCGAGTCGCCTGGTCCCAGCGGATTGTGAGCCTCTGCCGACGACCTCCAAGAAGAGAGAGAGAGGATGGAAAGAGCCCTCTTCTTGACAGAAAGGCCGCTTCTCTCCTTCCTCGTTTCATGGCAAGACTCGTTCCCGTTTGCCTTCCCCTGAGGCTGAGAGAGTGTGACTTGCCCAGGGGTCAGAACGAGCACAGGTTTGGGAGGTTTTTTGTTTTTTCCTAGCAAGATTCGTTCCCTTTTGACTTCCTCTGAGGATGAGAGAGTGTAACTTGCCCAGGGGTCAGATGGAGCAGAGTTTTGGGATTCGAAACTTGTGGGATTTGGAGTTTTTCTTTTGCCAAGATTCATTCCCTTTTGACCACCTCTGAGGCTGAGACAGTGTGACTTGCTCAGGGTCAGATGAAGCGGAGGGTTTGGGTGGCTGGGTTTGGATTGGAATCAGCACCCTGTGGGATTTGGAGTTTTTTCTTGGCAAGATTCGTTCCCTTTTGACCTCCTCTGAGGTTGAGAGAGTGTGACTAACCCAGGGTCAGATGGAGCAGATGGCCAGGTTTGGGATTCGAACTCTGAGTCAGCACTACATCATGTAGGATGTTCAAGGGAAAAAAATGCAAATCAAAGCTAAAAACACTCCTCTAAATGTAAATTCATGCTTCTTAGCCATGCCCAGAATGGAACAGAAGGCGGAAATGTAGGACAAGTCTTGGGGAAAGGGGGATGCCTGGTTCTCTCATGGTACTCCAGGCGCTTGCCCTAAATCTTTTTAACTTTCTAAAATAATCGTTGAGTCTGGAGCTTGCCTCTGGTCATCCTTCAGTACCAGAAGACTGAGGGCTGCTGGCTACTCTTGATTGAGGGAAAAGGAACTCTGCACATGCTCCCGAGAACTCTCTTTATTAATATTTTATCTTCCAGGGCAGAACTTTGAGCTCTGGTGAACATACAAAGAAGTCATACAATCTGTTTCATGTCAAAGGACAGCAGATGAGCCAGTGGATTTCTTTTGTATATTTCAGGTCTAGTTGTTATTTTAAATACTTGGAGTGTGTCTTCAAGTCCTTTCTGATTTACGGCAACCCTGTCATGGGGTTTCCTTGGCAAGATTTGTCCAGAGGAGGTTTTGCCGTCGCTGTTGCCGTTGCCTTCCCCTGAGGCTGAGAGAGTGTGACTTGCCCAAGGTCACCCAGTGGGCTTCATAGCTGAGCTGAGAATCGAACTCTGATCTTCAGAGTCGTAGTCCATGACTCAAACCACTATGCCACAGTGGCAGGGACTCAGTTCCAAGTAAATGTGTTTACATGGGGGAAAGACTGGACAGAACAGAAATTGCTGCAAATTGTAATTTATGTCAGAATCTGTATACAAATGGATACAGTACAATTGTCTCATGGAAATGAGTTACTTGATGCTTTCACCCATCACAGTAGTTTTCATGCATTCAAATACCATTGCCACACATTTCATCTCTTTCAATATCAAGGGAAAGGGTAAGCAATAAGGAGGGCTACTATTTTTAATGGTTGAAATAAGTCGCCTTCAAATTTTGCAGAATAAACTGCAGAGAATCCGTCTCGAACTGGGCCTTTTCCAGCTTTAATCTTTTTAATTGCTTCAATCAGCCCCATAGTTGTCACTGGTAAATGCAAACTGCTTTTGTTTCAGCTGTTGTTATCCAAGTAGTCTTACATATCTGAGAATCTCTTGTGGTCCCTTGCATATAGTCCTCTGCAGTATTCTTCAAAAGCTTTTAACACATTTTTTAAAATTGTCCATTATATACTGATCTCCCTTCCTGATCTTTCTGGCAGATTTCTTTATCCTTTCCTGTCTCAATTTACCAGAAAGCCACTTCCTAGGTTTATTTGTGAATTCAAAATCCTTTTTCTTAAGGTACAATACACTCATTTCTTTTGACTGTAAACAATGAAAACTGTTGTTGAAATAGCTTAACCTTTTATTGAATCTCTGTCAAAATCTTCCTTGAGTTTTCTTTCCAAATTCTGTATTTTTTCCCATCAGCTAGTTTGTCTTTGCTTCTTCTTTTTCTTTTTTTTACCTGGAGCCATATTTTATACATTGTTCTCTCATAAAAGCGTTGCTTGCCTCACAAACTACTATGGGCTGTTGCATGCCTTCAAGTCATTTTGGATTTATGGCAGCCCTAAGGTAAAACTGTCAGGGGTTTTCTTGGCAAGATTTGTTCAGAGGTTTCCCACTGCCATCCTCTGAGGCTGAGAGAGTGTGACTGGCTCATGGTCACCAGTGGGTTTCCAGGGCTGAGGTGGGAATCGAACCCTGGTCTCCAGAGTCACAGTTCAACACTCAGCCACACTGGCTCTGTGTGGGCTCTGCCCATATTTAAATTTAGATCAAAAATTTTTTCAATTCCTGTTTACATTGTTGTAATATTGCCATCTTCAGAAGCAGATAGTAAGTCTCCATCTATATTCGTCCCTCTACATTTGTGGCTTTGACTTTTGCGGATTTTATTATTCACAAATTTTATTAATATGTTCTCTCTAGGAATATCTAGGTCCTCCAGCACAACTCTGTGGTCAACTTTAACCAAAAGTCGCACTGAAGGACCTAGAGATTCCTAGAGAGAATACTCCATTAGGCATTTGTGGCTCCTCCAGCGCAATTCTGTGGTCAATGTCTGGCAGATGTTGACCACAGAGTTGCACCGGAGGACCCAGAGATTCCTAGAGAGGTGTTCTCTCAGGTAAAAACATAGTGTTTTTGCTATTTGCAGATTTTCTACATTCATGAGTGTCCTATGCCCCTAACCCCAGCAAATGTGGAGAGATGAGTGTAAACTGCATTTGTTCCATTTTCAAGGAGATTATAGTGGGATTGGTCTGGAAAAGCTTTTAATAAAATGTCCATCCTCTTTACTAGGTCAGCCATATTCTTAGAAATCTAGAACATATCTATTCTAGAAAAAGATTCAGGAAGATTTGGAGAAAAAGTAGGGCTGCATCTGCACTGTAGAAATAATGCAGTTTTGACACCACTTTAATTGCTCCATGCTATCGAATTCTGGAGTCTGTAGTTTTGTGAGATATTTCTCCATCAGAAAGCTGTGGTGCCACAACAAACTACAAATCCCAGCATTCCATAGGATGGAGTCATGCAAGATAAAGTGGTGTTAAACTACATTATTTCTTTAGTGCAGATGCAGCCTAGAACTCGGCTGCCAAGATCTACAACCATCTATTAACCCAAAGTACACTGTAGTTTTAAAGAAAAATAGTGTGTGAAGAGTCACTAGAAAAAGGGCAGATGCCAAACTCTTGGAGAAATATATATATGTGTGTGTATGTGTGTGTGTGTATATATATTATATATATATTTCAGTGAGTCACAGGGAAGATACAAATGAGACATTAACAAAGAATTATAGACCTATTTCATTACTAAACAATGATAACAAGATATTTACTACTATTTTGGTAACCAGATTGAGAAACCATATTTCTCAGAATATCTATGAGGATCAGAGCAGATGTTTGCCAAAAAGACAACTCGCGAATAATGTAAGAGCTGTTGTTAATAGTATTGCATTTCTGGAACATCATAATGACAAGAAGAGTGTTTGGTTTTATTTATTTATTTAGATGTAGAGAAAGTGTTTTAACAATATTTCTTGGAATTACCTATTTCAAGTATTGGAGCAAATGGGCGTTGGTAAAAATAGAATTTGGGCAATAAAGACCAACTATTCAACTCAAAAGGCCCAGGTTTTAGTAAATGGTAATGCAATAAGACCGACTGAAATACAAAAGGGGACCAGATAGGGTTCTCACCTTTCGCCTTTACTGTTTATTTTGGCGCTGGGGATTTTACTGAGTGATATCAAAACTTTTGCCGGGAAGCAAAGATGTTTTTATTTCAGCAGGCTTTTTAATACATAAACATGACAAGGTAGTTTTATATGGGGTGTTTTAGTTGCAGACTGTCAAAAATAGTGTGAATTCAGTTCACTTTTAGGGTTAGGGTTAGTGCTAGGGAATCATGGGAATTGTTATTTTTCTGAGACATTGAACCTTCTTTGTCAGAGAACTCTAGTGCCACAATAAAATTCACTTCCCATGATTCCCTAACCTTAACCCTAACCCTAAAAGTGGACTGAATTCACACTATTTTTGACAGTCTGCAACCCCCCTTAGTTATGTTTTTAACTTGTGTATGCTTTTGAGTTAATTTTAATCCTGTTTTATCTAGATGATTTTAACTTTTAAAATTTTTGTTGTAAAGTCTTTTAAAATATTTTTATCTTCTGAGCTGCCTTGGGTCCCTTTTTGGGAGAAAGGTGGCATGGGAATGAGAGAATCTTTGAAGGATGATCTTGTGATAATGACATAAAACCCACTGGACACAATGAAGGCTCTTCTGGGGAAAAAAATAAGTTTTTTTGGACATGCTCTGGATTAAAATTGAACAGGGATGAAGCAAAGTTGCTGACTTAAAATAGGACTTCAGAAAAGGAAAATGAACTAATTACTCTTTCAAATTTTAAAGTTGAAAGAGGGGGATATCTGAGAGTTACACTAAAGAATAATAGCTTATTATTTCAATCAACTATAAAAAAGTTTGGAAAGAAATCAGAAGAGGATAAATGGGGAAAGTTAAACTTATGGGGAAATTTGCAGTGTTAAAAATAAATGTTTTGCCAAGACTTATTTTGCTTTGAAATGATCCCTATGATAAGAAATGGAATATCCTTGTGCAATGGCAGAGAGAAATTTCCAAATTAGTTTGGCAGGCAAGGAAACCCAGAATAAAATTTAAAACACTATGTGATGCTAAGGAAAGGGGTGGCTTGGGAGTTCCTAATATTAAACTCTATTATGGGGCCAGTTGTTTTGTACAGTTGAAAAAATCGATATTGCCTAGAGATGAAAGACTCTGGGAAATTGAAGGTCGTGATTTAAGATTTGGGTGGCATGGCTACTTTTGGCATTATAAAGGGACACAATGAATTTACAAGTCATTGGCTCTCTAGCGAATTTGGTATAAGTATAACCCCCCCCCCCCCATATAATCATAGAGGTGAAAAAGATCACAAGGGCTATCCAGTCGAAAGGTGAGAACCCTGTCTGGACCCCTTTTGTATTTCAGTCAGTCTTGTTGCATTACCATTTACTAAAACCTGGGCCCTCCCCTGCCATGCAGGAACTCACAGTCAAAGCACTCTTGATAGATGGCCATCCAACCTCTGTTTAAAAACCTCCAGAGAAGGAGCCTCCGCCATACTCTAGGCCAGCATGTTTCACTATTGAACAGTTCTTGCTGTCAGAAAGTTCTTCCTATTGTTTAGATCAGGGGTCCCCAGACTTTTTGATCCAGGGGCCGGTTCGCTGGCCCCCAGATCTTCTTTGGGGTGCAGGAGGCGCATGCGCATGACTCCGGGTGTCATTTTGGAAGACAAAATGGCACCCGAGTAGTGTGCATGCACGCGTGACACCGGATGCTATTTTGTCTTCCAAAATGGCATCTGGCGGCAGGTGCAAGTGGCGGTGCTGTGGTCGCGGTGGGCGCCACGGGCCGTAGTTTGGGGATCCCTGGTTTAGATGGAATCTCTTTTCCTGTAGCTTGAATCTATTGCTCCACCTCCTAGTCTTTGAAGCAACAGAAAACAAGCTTGCTCCATCTTCAATATGACATCCCTTCAAATATTTAAGCACGGTTATCATGTCACCCCTTAACCCTAGCTGCTTCTCATAGGACATGCTTTCTGGACCTTATTGCTTAAAAAGTCCATAATCTGTTTCCAAAGATAATATTAGTCATCTCACTGCAGGAAGCCTTTTAAAGAAAAGAATGGATTAAAAATTGGCGAGAGTTGTTTTATGATGATGTTTTGTGTTTTGAACAAGACAGATGGAACTTTAAATCAAGAGAGGCTTTTTAAGGAAGGTAAAGATCTTAATTGGTTTGCTTATATGCAGCTTAATGATAAATATGATCAATTAAATGATGAGAAATGCAGTAATAGAAATTGGAGAAAATGTATGTTATTTAGAGTTGTGTAAAGATGATGAACATGTAATTTAAAATGTATATAAATGGCTTTTGAAACTAGAAACAGAAGAAGAACCTATAAAAGAGTACATGAGGTGGGCCCAAAATTTAGAGCATAATGTTCAAATTGATGTGTGTGGGGAAAATGTGGTCCAAAGATATAAGATGAAGTAAAGATAACATCATGTATCTAACCACAAATAAGTTGTCAAACATGTCCAGGAA